CATTTTCTGAATTTTTTTTTTTTCTTGAAGTGTAGTTAATTTACAATGTTGTGTTAGTTTCTGGTGTACAGCAAAGTGATTCATTTATATATGTGTGTGTGTGTGTGTGTGTGTGTGTATATATATATACACACACATATATATATACACACACACACATAAATATTCTTTTTCATTATGGTTTATTACAGGATATTGGATATAGTTCCTTGTGCTATACAGTAGGAACTTCTTTATTTACTTTATATATTGTAGTTTGTATCTGCTAATCCCAGACTCCTAATTTATCCCACATCCCCTTTCCCCTTTGGTAACCATAAGTTTGTTTTCTGTGTTGGTGAGTCTGTTTCTGTTTTGTAAATAAGTTCATTCGTATCATATTTTAGATTCCACATATAGATGATGCCATATGATACTTGTTTTTCTCTGTCTGACTTCATTTAATGTGATAATCTCTAGGTCCATCCATGTTGCTGCAAATGGCATTATTTCACTCTTTTCTGTGGCTGAGTAGCATTCCATTGTATTCCACATTTTCTTTATCCATTCATCTGTCAATGGAAATTTAGGGTTGCTTCCACGTCTTGGCTATTGTAAATAGTGCTGCTGTGAACATTGGGGTGCATGTATCTTTTCAAACTAGAGTTTTTTTCAGGATATATGATGAGGAGCAGGTTTGCTGTATCATATGGTAACTCTAGTTTTAGTTTTTTAAGGAACTTCCATACTGCTTTCCATAGTGGCTGCAACAGTTTGCATTCTCACCAACGGTGTAGAAGGGTTCCCTTTTCTCCACTCCCTCTCCAGCATTTATTATTTGTAGACTTTTTGATAATGACCATTCTGACCAGTGTGAGGTGATACCTCATTGTAGTTTTGATTTGTAGTTCTCTAATAATTAGTGAAGTTGAGCATCCTTTCATGTGCCTATTGGCCAGCTATATGTTTTCTTTGGAGAAATGTCTGTTTAGGTCTTCTGCCCATTTTTTTTATTGGGTTGTTTGTTTTTTTGTAACTGAGTTGTATGAACTTTTTGTATATTTTGGAAATTAAGCCCTTGTCAGTCAGTTACATCGTTTTCAGATATTTTTCCCAGTCTGTAATTTGTCTTTTTGTTTTGTTTATAGTTTCTTTTGCTTTGCAAAAGCCTGTAAGTTTAATTATATCCCATTTGCTTATTTTTGCTTTTATTTCTATTGCCTTGGGAGACTGACCTAAGAAAACATTGCTACAATTTATGTCAGAGAATGTTTTGCCTATGTTCTCTTTTAGGAGTTTTATGGTGTCAAATCTTATATATAAAGTCTTTAAGCCATTTTGAGTTTATTTTTGTGTATGGTGTGAGGGAGTGTTCTAACTTCATTGGTTTACATGCGGCTGTCCAGCCTTCCCAACACCACTTGCTGAAGAGACTGTCTTTTCTCCATTGTATATTCTTGTCTCCTTTCAAAGATTAATTGACTATAGGTGTATAGGTTTATTTTTGGGCTTTCTGTTCTGTTCCATTGATCCATATGTCTGTTTTTGTGCCAGTACCATGCTGATTTTTTGTTGTTGTTTTTTTTTTTTTTTGCGGTATGCAGGCCTCTCACTGTTGTGGCCTCTCCCGTTGCGGAGCACAGGCTCTGGACGTGCAGGCTCAGCGGCCATGGCTCATGGGCCCAGCCGCTCTGCGGCATGTGGAATCTTCCCGGACTGGGGCACGAACCCGTGTCCCCTGCATTGGCAGGCGGACTCTCAACCACTGCGCCACCAGGGAAGCCCATGCTGTTTTGATTACTGTAGCTTTGTAGTATTGTCTGAAGTCTGGGACAGTTATGCCTCCAGCTTTGATCTTTTTTCTCAGGATTGCTTTGGTAATTCTGGGTCTTTTGTGATTCCATATAAATTTTAGGATTATTTGTTCTGGTTCTGTGAAAAATGTCACGTGTAATTTGATAGGGATCACATTAAATCTGTAGATTGTCTTGGGTAGTATGGCCATTTTAACAATATTAATTCTTCTAATCCAGTAGCATGGTATATCTTTCCATTTCTTTGAATCAGCTTCAGTTTCCTTTATCAATGTCTTATGGTTCTCAATATATAAGTCTTTCTCCTCCTTGGTGAGGTTTATTCCTAAGTGTTTTTCTTTTTTGGTGCAATTTTATAAGGGATTTTAAAAAAACTTTCCCTTTCTACATTTCATTGTTAGTGTAAAGAAATGCAACAGATTTCTGTACGGTGATTTTGTATCCTGCTAACATACTGAGTTTGTTTATCAGTTCTAGTAGTTTTTGTGTGGAGTTTTTTATGTATGGTATCATGTCATCTACATATAATGACAATTTTTACATCTTCCTTTCCAACTTGGATACCTTTTATTTCTTTTTCTTCTCTGATTGCCGTGGCCAGGACTTCCAATACTACGTTGAATAGAAGTGGTGAGAGTGGGCATCCTTGTCTTCTTCCAGATTTTAGTGAGAAGGTTTTAAGCTTTTTACCAAGTATTATGTTGGCTGTGGGTTTGTCAAAAATAGCTTTTATTATGTTGAGATATGTCCCCTCTGTACTCACTTTGATAAGAGTTATTAACATGAATGTATGTTGAATTTTATCAGACGCTTTTTCTGCATCTGTTGAAATGATCATGTGGTTTTGTCTTTTCTTTCGTGGATGTGGTGTGTCACATTGATTGATTTGCATACGCTGAACCATCCTTGTGACCCTGGGTTGAATGAATCCAACTTGATCATGTTGTATGATCTTTTTTTTGTGTTCTTGAATTCGGTTTGCTAGTATTTTGTTGAGAATTTTTGCATCTATATTCATTAAAGATATTGGCCTGTAATTTTCTTTTTTGGTGCTTTGTCTGATTTTGGTATCAGGGTGATAGTGGCTTCATAGAATGACTTTGGGAGTGTTCCCTCCTCTTCAGTCTTTTGGAAGAGTTTGAGAACGATTGGTATAAGTTCTTCTTTGTATGTTTGGTAAATTCCCCAGTGAAGCCATCCCCATGTTCTGAATTCTTAAATAAAATGTTATAGCCAAACAAAGTATCAGTACTTTGTTTCTTTTTACAGCTGAATAGTATTCCATTGTATGGATATAGCACATTTATTTACCCAGGAACATTTTCAGTTAACATCATCACACCTAACAAAATAAATAATCCTTTTCACATCACCTAATATCAACATTGTCTTCAGTTTCTGCAGGATCCAGTCTGGGATCATACACTGCAATTGTGTATGTCTCTTAATCTCTTTTAATATTGAGGCATCCCTTGTTTTACGGGATTGACTAGCTGTAGACACCATGCTAGTTGTCCCATAGAACACCCCACCTCCTGGGTTTGTTGGAGTGTTTCTCTGTGGAGTTCTTAGCTTGTTCCTCTGTTCTCTGTATTTCATATAAAATGTGATTAGATTCCAGTTAAACATTTTGGCTAGGATGTACACTTCACATTGTATTTCATTTGGAGACACATAGTATGTGTTTGTTCCATTATTTATGCTGAGATTGATGATTGGATGAGAGTGGCAGCATTCCTTCACTGTGAATTTTATGTTTTTTTCAGTCCTTACAAGTAAAAAGTAATCTTTGTGGTGTTACTTTGGTACCATACAATGTCTAATTCCCCATCAATCTTTCATTTGATGATGAAAACACTGATTGATAATCATTGCCTGAATCAGTAATTTCATGAAAGGTTGCAACATGATAGTTTTCTTATTCTGTCATCCTGTCTACATTCATAATTGGCAGTTTTCTATAAAGAAGAGCTTCTCCTTTTCACTTGGAGCTATTTGTCTTCCCTGAACTACAAATCACTCTTTAAAACAAAACAACAAGAGAAAAAATTTGACTTGTCTTCTCCCCCAGTAATTTTCAAGTAAGGGACTGGTATAATATCTTCCTCATTGAAATGTTATACATTGCTGGTATTCAGTTGCATGTATTTTATGATTACCACTGTGGTGTTCTCTTTAAGTTTATGGATTAAACAGAAGTTGGGTGTGTAAGAGTTTTGAGTTTCCTGACAGGATTTTTTGTCTGTTTGTTTATGTGTTTTTCAAGATATGTTTTGGTAGTTTAGCTGAAGTAATACTGTGATCAGATAATGGGGCCTGTGTTAAATTAAGTTTTGAATTTTGGAGACAGCTTATGTAACCTAATATGATCAGTTTTCTTTTTAGTATAATCATTTTATTTATTTTTATATATTTGTTTTTTTTGGCTCACTGGGTCTTTGTTGCTGCACACGGGCTTTCTCTAGTTGCAGCGAGCGGTGGCTTCTCTTGTTGAGGAGCATGGGCTCTAGGCATGCGGGCTTCAGTAGTTGCAGCATGCAGGCTCAGTAGTTGTGGCATGCAGGCCCCAGAGCATGCGGGCTTCGGTAGTTGTGGCATGCAGGCTCAGCAGTTGTGGTGCATGGGCTTAGTTACCCCGCAGCCTGTGGGATCTTCCCAGACCAAGGATCAAACCCGTGTCCCCTGCATTGGCAGGTGGATTCTTAACCACTGTGCCACCAGGGAAGCCCATGATCAGTTTTTTAGTAAATGTTTCGTGTGGTCTTGAAAATAATATTCCTGTTCTTTTTAATTGAATGAAAGGTACTAAATCAAGACTATTAATAATAATAATAATTTTATTTGAAACACTTCCATCCTTATTTTTTTCTGCTTGATGTATTTAGTTATTTAGAGAGATTTGTTAAAAATCTCCTATTAGGATTATAGATTTTCCCATTTGTACTCATACTTTTCAGAGTTGGCTTTATGTATTTTGAGACTATGTTTCTATGTTTCTATAGCTTCATGATTGTTAAATTATCTTGATCTGTGTGGAATGTATATGTTGGTTCCTTTTATTAGTAACAAAATCTCCTTGTCCCTTTTAAATGCTGTTCATTTAAATACATGATGTTAATAAATAACTACAGCAGATTTCTGATTGGCATTTTCCTGATTTTTAAAAAATTTCCTAATTTTTAAACTTTTTGTGTTGTTTTGTTTTAGGCATGTATCTTATAAGTAGTATATGGCAGAGTTTTAAGCCAATCTGAGAGTCTGTTTTCCAGTAGGTGAGTTTACGTTTATATTTACTCTGATATTGGATGCATTTAAATTTACTTTTGCCACCTCCTTCTGTGGTTTTCCATTTGCCATGCATTTTCTCTGCTTTTTTCCTTTTTTCCTGCCCTCTGTTGAGTTGATAGCTTGCTTTGTTTCTTTTATTTCTTAATCTGTGTGGAATGTATATGTTCAGTATCTGTTCTTTCAGGGTCGTCACTCTAAATGTTAATACACATTATTAAATGAAACTCTTTTTAAAGCAACCACATCATTTTTATATAGTATTTTGGTTTCACTTTTTTAACCACACCAAAAAACACTGTTTTTGTTCTTCGCTCTCTCTCTCTCTCCTTTTACTATGTATATTTATTAGTTTTCATTATTTTTCAATAATCTCTTTACTTACCTTTGTTTCTTGAATTCCGTTCCTTCCTCCTGAGTTCATTTTTCTTCATACTAAAATACATTCCCTTGGTACTCCTTTTAGCTAGAGTTTGTGCACTTTATAAGTCCTAGTCCATTTCACAGTGTTTTTATTTCACCTTCATTTTACTTGAACTCTAAAATTCACCTGTAAAATATGTACAGTAAAACCAGTTGGCCCACAATATAGGGTTATTGGGGGGAACTAATAAAATTTGTTGAAATACTTTATAAACGGTTTTGTGTGTGTACGTAATGCTATTATTATTAGCTAATATACATCCTATTAGAGTTATATTAGAATTACAGTGTTTTGAATGGATTTTAAAAATCATTGCTTACTGTACTTAGTTAATATTTACTGAGACAAAAGAGAATAATACCTACTAGAAATATCATGAATTGTACATGCTCACACCTTGGGAGAAGAGATGAGATAAGGTGAAACTCGGGATCCTAACTGCTAGCTTAGGGTTACTCCCATTCATTGGAACTTTGAGATACGCAAGCATGAAGTCCAATTTTTTTACTTTGTTTTTATCTATTTACAAAGACAGTACACAAATAGTGTGGAAAATCCAAATGATAAAAGAAAGAGAGAAAGAAATCTTCCAGGAAGTCCATAGAATTGAAACCATTGACATATTGGGACACATCCTTCCAGACATCTTGCTCTGCATGTGTGGCTATGTGGATTCTGGAGACTTGTCTTTTCATCTTTCAAAAGGAATCATACTACATATGCAATTTTGCTACTGCATTTTTCACTAAGTAATATATCAAGAGAATATAGCTAAGTATCATTGCATGTAATGAATAAATGTGTACCGTTGTATGGATGTATCATAATTTTGTTTAACCAATTCCCTATTGGGAGACTTTAAAATAATTTTTTATATTATAAATTATGCACAGTTGCCTGATTATTTCTTTAAGATAAATTGCTAGCAGTGATACTGGTCAAAGAGTGTGCACATTCAAGTCTTTGATACATGTTTAATAAATCTCTCCAAAAAGTGCACAAGAATGCCTCTTTTCCTCACACAAACTAAGTATTGTCATTTTTCCCCCTTAATTTTCCAGTTTCAGATTTTTGTCAATATCTCTGCTTACTTGTGAGCTTGAATATCTTTTCTTGTTTTATCGTTCATTTGTAATTCTTTTGAGAACTTCCCCTTTGGCTGTTTATTCTCTTTTTGCATTCATCCATTTCTTATTAAGCTGTATGAACTCTTATTTGGCTTATAAATTATTATAAATATCTTATTTTTTCCCTGTTTTTTTTTTAATCTTTTAACCTTGTTTGTGCTTTTTATCGCGTTGTTTTTTTGCTTTTCAACCTTGTTCAAGAACTTTATGAAATTTTTATTTGATCAAAATTTCTTTTATGAGTTCTGGGTTGTTTCCTTAGATGGGATAACTAAAAGTTCTTCCCCACTTCAAAACTGTTAAATGTTCATTTGTATATTTTGTGTGTCTGTGCTCCTAGCAGTTTATTTTTCTCCCATTTGAATCTTTAATCCATTTGGAGTGTTTTTGGTATAAGGAGTGATACATATCAGTGCCTTCCTGTTTGTCACATCCTGTTCTGGTTTTTAAATTTGACTGATGAAAATCAATATATGAGCATCGTAAAGCATGGCAGGAATTGAGATGTGCTTCATAGTTTTCAGTTTACTAATGTGTCTTGGGTATTTGTAAGTAGAGAAAGAGGTTCAAAGGGGAGGGAGTGGATTGGGAAGTGGTAGTTGACAGTCTCATGTCAGGGTTACCTTCTGTGTATGTGTGTGGAACAGAGAATTAAAGAGAGGATACCAGCAGAGTGTCTCTTAGAAGTTTCGTGTTTCACTTCTTTTAGTGACCCTGAGTTCTTTATGAAAGTGGAAGTGGAACTGGTAGGATGTCGTAAGACACCATCTGACGTGAGGACTTAGAGGTTTTACGTCTTGAATACCAAGTGCTCTTCTTCCCTGATGAACCCATGAACTCTCTGAATTCTGTGGATTCGTGGGCTTTTTTTAACGTTTTATTTCAGCATATGTTCAGAAAGAAATTGGAATGGGGAAGGGGTTCCGTTCCCCTCTTTGACGTCTAATTCCCTGACCCATAAGTAGATGCTGTTAAGTTTCTTACGTATCTTACAGAAATTTCAAGCACTATTTTTGACTACTTGCTACTGAATGTTCAGTCGATGAAATTGAAGGTCTTTCACTCAGAAGAAATAAATCAAGAAGGTAAGAAATAAAATCTTTTGACGCTTTGAAACATTCATCAAGTAAGAAGAATTCATCAAGATTATTTCTTTAGGATAATCCCTTTTGACAATAAAAATCAATTTAGTGAACATAAACAGGATGGAATAGCCGCAAAGGGTAGAACACGGGCCATCTGTTAATTCACACTGTATTAACATCTTCATTCTGTAGAGATGAGGAAACTGAGGCTTCCAGAAGTAAGTAACATACCCATAGCTCTCCCTGGTTGGCAAAGGACAGAACTAGGTGTGGGCTCTGGTCTCTGCCTTTGGAGCCACCTGTGTTGTGGGTAACCTGAAGTCTGTTCCAGCCAGTCCTTGAAAGACCTTCCCCCACTTTTGGAATAGATAGTTCCTGTTCTTTTTGCTGCTACTTTATTTTCTTTGTAGGCCCATAAGCAGTAGACATCATAACTACAGACACAATTTCACATTTATGAACTGTGGCTTGTAGAATGCATATAGGATAACTTTTATAGTAAGATTTGCTGTTTTTGAGTTCTTCCCATTATTGAAGAGTAGCCAGGCCTCCATTGCCTGTGTGCAGTTATACATGAAGCCCCTTACTCAGATGCTTTCCTTCCATTTGTCCGAAATTTGTTATAATGTGCCAATTTGTTAGGATGAGACGTAAAACTGCCATTTGATAACAGTTGTAATAAATGTACAGGTCATCGATGGCTGAGATTAGATGGAGCTCCCTAGGGTTGTGCTGTGTCTAGTAGCCAGGTGAGGAGAAAGTGTAAGAAGATATTAATTCCTTCCATAATTCTCGTTCTAGGTCTATTTTGTTTCAGCTTTTTCTGGGAGCTAGCTGTGTAAGGCTAGTAAGGGGGAGAAAGGAGGATGGGGGTGGGATGGATAGACCTACATTTTACGTTTATACAAATAGAAATAGCACATCAGACAGGCCAGTGTTCATTGCACTCTTGCTGTAGGTCTCTGTCTTGTAGTTTGACTCTTGTCAAAAGAAAAATGTTCTTTCCGACAAGGTCATAGAATATAAGTGGAAAGGCAAGACACATATACATGAAACCGAACTAGAGAGTTTGCTGAAACATTCCATTGTACTGTGTGACTTAAAATATAAAAAACATTAGAGGTAGGAAAGGATATTGTAGCAAGAAGTAATCAGGGCAGGTAAGATATGGCCAGAGGGAAAGGACAAAGAGTCTTGAGATCCTGTCATTTTTATATGTATTAAGAGGCAGAAGAACTGTATGTCCAAAGACCTAAGATTGCCCCAAGGTAGAACCCTTGGTAGACCAGCCTTTCCATATAATGACATTAATGTATGCCCTCCATAGCAAATTCTGGGTTCCCAGGATCTCTCCCCCAGTTGATTGTGGGTGAAAGGGCATGGTCAGAAGCTTCCTCAACCTGCCCTTCATGTTGTTGATCTGTCCCTCATTCTGAAGTTCCTTAGCATTTGACGTAAACAGTCTGTACTACATTGCTGTGACATGTTTACATGTTGCCTTGGGATTTGCACTCCTCCCATTGCCTTCTTCCTTTGGCCTCCTTAGTGCCTGGTGCAGTCTGTGGATGTTGAAGTTCTAGTAAACACTTAGTATATGAATGTCTTTGGACTGAGGCCCATGATCATGGCACCAGGAAAGCCCTGTGGGATCCCGAATTGTAAACCAACCTTATCCTTGGGATCCAAAGCAGAGCTGAGGCTGCGACCGTGAATGTACTGTGTCTCCTAGCTCAGTTTTCTTGTCTCAGCTAGAAGTTCCCTGTAAAAGCAAGTGTTCTAGGAGGCTCCATCCCATGATTCTGATCTGGTGCAGGATTTCTGAACAGGGAAGTTAGATTAGATTAGATGGGAGTAAGATTAGAATGGGAAACTCACAAAAACTCATACTATGGGCAGGCCTTTAGTTTAAGCACTTGCTGTCCAAACTGTGCATTGAGTTCAGCTAGTGAGGTAGAAAGGGGGCTGGGGTGGTATTTTGGGCAGGTAAAAGCTGTTTCATAGTCTTGTGCATTTGAAAACTCCAGAGATGGTTACCCTTCTTGTGTTTAGAGGCCTCACCTTTCAGGGGAAGCATCTCCACCTTTATCTCATCCCATATCAAGCAGGTCACTGTGAATAATTGTAGCTGTTGGGTTTTTCTTACTCCGGATTTGCTAGAATTCACATCAGATCACACAGCTGAGAAAGACCCTTGGTTTATTTGGACATGTTGCTGATAATATCTCTTTGCATTAATGATTTTATTCTAGATATCCAGAGGGACAGAAAAAGATGAGTAATGGGGGAGTTACAAGATAAATCTACAGTAAAAAATAAAGCAAACTGCTTCTCTTCTTTACCATTATGAAAAAGAAGTAAAGAATTATTTCAACAGTTAGGTCAAACAAGAAGTATTAATTTTCCTCAAATAATTGGGGATATGTTTTTAACATTGATCTTGATGTAAAAAGCTGAAATATACTTTTGGTTGTTGGTATCCGTTTGCTTCTAGTTAAATGAAGTTAAGTAGATTCAGGTCAGGATTTTTGGTTTTGCTTTGGAGCTTTTGTTCTCCCAACTCTTCTTCCTTAAGTAGACGATCAGGTATCATTTGAAAATGTGTTTTGGGCAGTGGCACGCTAAGCAGGTCTTTGATAAATCTTCCAGAACCCGAGGCTCGCGTGCTCCTGAGTTGCTGTGCATGGCCCCAGCGCTCCTGACCACTCTTCCGGGTAGGATGTCGCTGAGATCCCTGAAATGGAGCCTCCTGCTGCTGTCACTCCTGAGCTTCCTGGTGATGTGGTACCTCAGTCTTCCCCACTACAATGTGATAGAACGCGTGAACTGTATGTACTTCTATGAGTATGAGCCCATTTACAGACAAGACTTCCGCTTCACACTTCGAGAGCATTCGAACTGCTCTCATCAAAACCCATTTCTGGTCATCCTGGTGACCTCACACCCCTCAGATGTGAAAGCCAGACAGGCCATTAGAGTTACTTGGGGTGAAAAGAAGTCTTGGTGGGGATATGAGGTTCTCACATTTTTCTTATTAGGCCAGCAGGCTGAAAGGGAAGACAAAATGTTAGCATTATCCTTAGAGGATGAACACCTCCTTTATGGCGACATAATAAGACAAGATTTTTTAGACACGTACAATAACCTGACCTTGAAAACGATTATGGCATTTAGGTGGGTAACTGAGTTTTGCCCCAACGCCAGGTACATCATGAAGACAGACACTGATGTCTTCATCAATACTGGCAATTTAGTGAAGTATCTCTTAAATTTAAACCACTCAGAGAAGTTTTTCACAGGTTATCCTCTAATTGATAACTATTCTTATAGGGGATTTTACCAAAAAACCCATATTTCATACCAGGAGTATCCCTTCAAGGTGTTTCCTCCCTACTGCAGTGGGTTGGGTTATATAATGTCCAGAGATTTGGTGCCAAGAATCTATGAAATGATGAGTCACGTAAAACCCATCAAGTTTGAAGATGTTTATGTTGGGATCTGTTTGAATTTATTAAAAGTGGACATTCATATTCCAGAAGACACCAACCTTTTCTTTTTATATAGGATCCATTTGGATGTCTGTCAACTCAGACGCGTGATTGCAGCCCATGGCTTTTCTTCCAAGGAAATTATCACATTTTGGCAGGTTATGCTAAGGAACACCACATGCCATTATTAATTTGACATTCTACTCAAGGCCTAGAGAAGGGAGGGATACTTTGTGGAAAACGTTAAGGTTACACTATGAAATCTCCAATGGAAAACTCATGGGAAGGTCACTGTGTGGCTTACACGGAACTGAAACTCATGAAGAGGCTATAGGCTGGAGACTGGAGGGTTGTACTTGACCTGTGGTTTATTTTGACAACAATCAAGTCAGGCCTTTTAAAGGTGATGTTCAGAGGAATTAAACATCTTATAAAGGAATGGGAGCTTTCTGTTAATAAAACTCATAGGACCTAACAATTTGAACGTGTCGTTCTATAGATTAAAACTTCTTAAATGGGTTTCATTGAATTATAAGCTCATTTGTCCATAATAACAAAGCAGTGTGGAGTATTATTCATTGAACAGTCTAGTCAGTTCAGGGTTTTGTGTATATCTTACATGGATTACAGTTTTTTAAAATATATAGTTGTGTGTAAAACAAGTGAAGTTATGCTGAACAAAACTTCATCTCTTTTTGGTCATTTGGAAGATACTTCAGGATGTTGCAGTATTTCAGTTATCAATTATTATTTAATGTTACTTAAAGTTTTGCACTTTTATGGGTGTTTGAATGTTATGGTTGTTTCAATACTGTATAAACAGAATAGTGAAAAATCACTCTTTATATTTAAACTTCTTTTCCAGTTACTTCACTGATGAGTTTATTATGAATAGCTCCATTAATGTGTAGATATTGGTCATTATTGCATATCAGTAATCTCCTGAACTTTGATAAATATTTCTTCGTGGTAATATAGAGAAGAATTAAAGCAAGAAGATCTAAATTATTGTCTTGTTTTTAAAAATATAATCCCTGGTGTTTTTAGATGTCACTTCATCTGTCTCATTGTTCCACATGGAAATTAGGAGTAATGTAGAGTGCCAGGCAGCATGTTTCCTTTTGGAAAGGACTCTGAAGCCAAAAAGAAAAGAGAGAACGTGATGGCCACGTTATGAAAGGAGTGGCATATTTCAGTGCTTGAGCTGGAAAGAGAAGACTAAAGATTCAAGTTGCATTGTTAACTGCTCCGTGTTTTTTTTAAATTAACAATCAGTTTGAGAATAAAAAGGAAAAAAAAAAACACTGCTGCTATTGTTATTAGTTTCACATCAAGAGGAAAGCCCTACTATGTGGTCTAAAATCAAGTCTGATTTCCATGTCATGGAGAAGCACGTTTTTTCATAGGAGTGGTGATGTAGGTCAGCTTTGACCTGCTAGTTGGTCCAAGAGAAGCACTCCTTGCCCCCATTTTCTTGGGATTGTGCAATTTCCCATTATGCCTGATACGGGACAAGTGATTTCCTTTCTTCTGGATTACATGATGGTGAAAGATCAAATCTGTTGGCAGAAAATATGAACTTGAAAATATATAGTCAGCTCTTGTAATACTCATATATTTATAATTCTCCTATAAGAAAAGCTTAATTTCAATTAGAAACATTATAATGTTTGATTCTTGATAACAAGGCTATTTCCATTTCCCTCCTCTCAGACCTGATCCAGTTACAATAAAATCAATTAAATGAAATACTCTGTGGAATCCATCTATGCCCTTGCTAATTCCCATCCATACGGAGTCACTTTCTTTTTTTTAAATTTTATTTATTTTTATACAGCAGGTTCTTATTGTTTATCTATTTTATACATATTAATGTATACATGTCAATCCCAATCTCCCAAATCATCCCACCACCACCCACCCCCCGGGAGTCACTTTCTTTAAGACACAGGTGGTGGGTATTTTTGTGGTAGGATTAGATTTGATCATATTTGCCTAACTTTATATTGGTATTTGGGAAGCTAAATCAAATAATTTATAGAGGGAGAACTTTTAAAATAAAAGATAACTTCCCTTCACTTTAAGATGAGACCCAAAAAAGCAGTAAAACGTGAGTAATTGCCATTTAGAAGATTGTTCCTTTTCAACTACAGGTTGGTGCTTAAGATCTTAAAGAGTTAAATGATTATGAAAAACATTGAGGTTGGGTCGTTATATTTTTTGTTTTTAACTTCATGTTTGCTTTCAAGTAGTATTAGTCAGCTGTGTTATTGAAATCTTGGCCTCTGATGTTTAACCACATGAATAGCACCTTTTATTTTAACTGGTAACAGAGTTTAATACAGAGCCTAACCTTAGGCAGCTGCTTTTCTGCCATCCACAGCCCTGCCACATCCCCGTGGTCTTACCTGCTCTCTGCCTCACTCATTTACTTTGCTTGCCTGTAAGCATTGAGTCTGTGACCCCAGCATGTCAGCCTTTGCCAGATTATGCTGCAAGAACAGCTCCCAGATCTCAGAGGTTGACAACAACCATGTGTTCTTTTCATCCACACCGCACGCTACTGTTTACCAGCCTTGGCTACTGTGTGTATCTTCTCACCTCAGGGTCCCAGCTGAAGGGCAACGCCTGTTTGGAACATGCCGTTCTTGTAGAGGGAGAGGAAAAAGAGCTGGTGGAAGGAGAAAGAGCTGGTGGAAACACTAACATCTATATCTGCTGACCAAAGCAAAGCCCATGCCAAGCCCAGTGTCCGTGGCAGGGTGGGGCAGGGATTTGGTCTCACAGGAAGTAGTGCACGTCATTTTTTGGCAGCCAGGAATATTGTGTTCTTTTACAGGGTGGGCAAGGAATAGTTGGGTACAGTAATCTGCCACACCTAGTGTGTGAAAGGGAGAAGGGGCTCAGGGACCTGGATTCTGAGGCTGGCCCCAGTGCATCAGAGGTTTTCTGGCTTACTTGGAGCTGGTGCTTTGAGCCCTTCCCTGAGAGGGCTGCCCTTTCACCCTCCTTAATCTTTCCCCAACTCTATGCTAAATGGTCGTGGCAACTCGCCAGATGAAGAGCAGCTGGAGCTGAGCTATTTATAACAGTATTTCTGAGTGTGAGCTTGGGGATAAAGCTCTTTTCTCTTGGCGTCTGGTAGGCATTTATTGCAGGATGGAGGGAGAGAGAGAGGGGAAGGGTGAGTATGAGAAATGTGGCAGGCCCATCTGACGCCTTTGGGGTTCTTTTAATCCACTGGGAATTAATCTTTATATTAAGCCAGCTCCTCTGGATTTTGTGTGAGCTATTAGAACCCTCTCACGGTCTCCGTCAGCTGCTTGATTATCCCACGTGTAGTTAATACAGGACCAACCCTTTAAGGAGTCAAAACAGGTGACATGTGTTGATGGATGTGTTGGTAGGAGATGGAAGCGAGCGTGGGAAATGGGCCCCGAAAGCCAAGAGGCAGTTTGAGTGGGCAGGCCCTTGGCAGAATTTGTGCCCAAGGGAAGAGCCGACTCATGGGTCTTGTAAAGTCAAAGGAGGGCCCAACAAGGATGGATACCATTGCTCTGTATTTAAGGTAAGTGTTGGAAGCACAAAACTTGCGCTTAGTCTCTCCTCACATGTGACCCTTTCTTCGCATTTGCAAGCCTTACCCTTCCTTTAGGTTTTCAATGAATAATGTCTAAAACGTCTGCCAACTTAGCCCTTTTTATGTTTTACTCTCACCCTTTAGACCACGTGGGAGGGAGGGTGGAGGTTAGCGCTACTTACATTTCCCCCTTAAAGAACCCCCTTTGAGACATTTCCCAGATGAAAAATCAACGCCCCTCGTGGTGAGTTAACATCATTCTCTTAAAAGGCTGTAGCAGCTGCAGCGAAGGTTTTAAATAACACTCTTCCCCCTTCTCCCCCTTCCCCCTTTCCCCCTGTAGAAACCGAACAGAAACAAGCAGGAGATACCAAAATGTTAACAGGAGTTGCCTGTCAATGACTTTGCTCCCTTTGAAGTACCTTTTATTACTTCATTCTCAACAACAAGGATGAATTACTTTTATAACATAAATGTTTTAACAATATATGAACAAATTTAGGTAAAGGTAAAAAGCAGGGTCAGAAGCTGTGGGGGTCAAAGGCTGGCGGGGGACAGGGTCAAAGGCTGGCTCACTGCTGAGCTGCCAGCCCCTTCCGCGCCCTCCCGCTTTTTCCCGCAGCAGAGTCTTGGGAACCAGTCCCTGCCAGTGGGACCCCAAGTGAAACCACACAACTCTGATTGGGACTTAAACCGCTGTTAGTTAAAATTGCTCACTTCTTGTCAGGACTTGCTGAAGCTCGGGTTCTTTGTGTCTCATCGCAGAAAGAATTCAGAGACGAAGTGATAAGTAAGAGGTGGATTTATTTAGAGAGAGAACACATTCCACAGGCCGAAGAACGTGGTCCATCTCAAAAGGCTTGAGAGCAACCCCAGGGCATGGGGTCGACTCAGAAAGTGAGAGCAGCCATGGGAGAAATACACTCCATAGACGGAATGCTGAATGTCTCGGAAGGTGAGAGCGCCCCAGGTTAGTTTCTGCGGGCTGTGTAATTTCATAGGCAGAGTATAGTGGGAGGATTAGTCCAACTATTTTGGGGGAAGGGGAGGAGATTTCCAGGATTGGGGCCACCACCCACTTTTTGGCCTTTGATGATCAGCCTCAGAGATGTCATGGCGTGTCACTTAGCGTATGCTAGTGTGTTACAATGAGTGCATAATGAGGCTCAAGGTCTGCTGGGAGTCAAATCTTCTACCATCTCGGACCTAGTCAGTTTTAGTCAGTTTATGTCGTATCTTCAAAGGCTCTTGTCATTCTTTTAAAGGTTGTGCCCTGGCCCCTTCCTTCCTGTTTCATGGGGGATGTCTGCCTGTGGCCTCCTGTGTTCCTCCCTCATTAAGAAAAAAAGGAGAAAGCCTCCTTTTCCTTGATAAGATGTTCTGCCTACACTGCTAGAGTCTGCAGCTACCATGGTGATGCCATGAGCCTAAAGGCCAAGGCAGTGGGCTGAGACGGTGAGCCTGGGCCCACATTCTTCTAGACCCTTTGGTGTTAAGTAACCTCACACATTTGGATGTCGTGGGTCCAGTGGTCAGTTCCTCACAGCTGGGGGAACCTAACTCCAGGGACGTAAGAACACTTTCCCTGACCGGAGCCGTTGGGCCCACGGTGAGTGGGGAGATGTGAGGAGATGAATCAAACTCTCCTCCAGGGCAGAGAGAAAACAGCTGGTTTGTGACCAGGGAGCTCTGAGGCTCTGGCTTGGATCCTGCTGGGGGATGGTGCCCCGCCTGCGAGCAGCCCTCGGGGACGCGGTGGACACTCCTCTCTGGTTGGTGCCCGCCATCCGTGTCGGGCAGCGGGGCTGCGGTTGCACCTGCGGGGGGCAGAGCGGGGAGAAGGAGGCTGTGGGAGGGAGCCCTGAGGAGTCTGAACCTGTCTCACCTGTGGAGCCGCGTCTTCTCATTTGGGAGAAGAGAGGTCAGGGCCACATCTCTTTGCCTTTCACGGTTTACTGCCTGCCTATCATCCGAGAAGGTTTGTGTTACGAACTTGGCAAAAAGTAGCTTCAGAGTCTGATGGTAACGCCGTTCACTCTGCCCTCTTTGTAAATGAGAAGCTGGAAAACCTCTGGATTTTGGTAAATTCACAATGAAATGACCAGAGAGCACTCAGGTCTCGCTGTTCTTCCATGCCCCGAGGCTGCTATAATTACTTTATTAAAAACGAAGTGTCTCAAGGTTTCAGGACAGAAACTGTTGAAAAGCCATAAATGACTAATTTGGTGTTTCAAGTGATAATCAAGCCTGTCTCTTAGCTCAATGAATATGAAGAGGAGGAAAGTAACAACCTCACCTTTGTTACTGAATCTCTTTTTATATGAATCTTTAAAAAATTTTGCACACTGCTTCTCTCTCCTTTAGTGAACCTTAACATACAAACAGTAAAAATTTTTAAGGTATTATATAAGAAGAAACTAAATTTTGTATTTCTCAGCCTTAAATTTGAAAGCAAGTAGACAGGCAGTTATTA